CTAGCAAGGAGATCGGGCTGAAACTATAGCTACAAGCTATCCAAGGATGGTACTATAGAATGTCACCTCAAGGTAGGCCTAGTGGCGTCATCTCTTGGTTAGGCCGGAAACTTATCAATCCACCCTCGTATACTTAAATGAAATGACGCGTTTATTTGCATACTTGCTTAAACATTTAAACTTATAATTGTAATTTTCCTTCAAATACCTTATTCGTAAGATCGAGTTAATTGGATTTCTCTAGCTGGAATGAATATTAACCAAGCTAAAATGTATTCAGTATTAGCTAAGTAGTGAAATTTTAGACAGATACTAAAATAAAATAGGTCCTTCCATATTAGTCCTAGCAAAGATCTTAATTATTTACCTACTGGTGAAGATATTACGTCAACACGATGGTATGATCTCTTTCAGTCTTTTTGTTCTTCATTGTTAGATATGCAAACACACCAAGGCCTTACATTTATCTATGCTCATTGTATATCTATATGTATGTAGGTTCATTAGATTCTAACTGCATGTTTTTATGCACCTGCAATTTTATTACGAAAACATTCTACGTAATATACATACGTACGTTATTCGATACCCTGATGGGTATTTGTCAAACGTTGCATTCTGTTCTACAGAGTCCACAGACATATGTGCAGATTGTAACGCAAATGTATGTCAGAACTGTAGTACATTCACAATAAAAGATTAGATTCGTTGCATGTTGCGTAAATGCAAACAATACCAGCCTTTTTCGTACGTTAAAATACTCTAACCAGATCCTACACATATACTATTAATCATTTTTGTTAGCATAAATTTTAAATTCACAGAAACGAATTGTTGAGCAATATTCCTTAATTCAATTTACTCTCCTGTAACTTTCACAACTCGTCGGTCCAGGAAAACGCACCTAAGTGTGTATATTGTGTTTATTCTTATCATATCAGTCGCCCGATGATGCCGTTTTAGGAAAATATGAAGATATGCTTATTTGTGGATCTTACGAACACCCAAATTTTTGGGAGAATTAGTTATATTGGATGACAAATGAGAAGATTGAACATTTCTCTGGTTTATGTAATTTGTAGTTTTGAGGCTATATACCTTAAACCGATCGTGGAACATCTACCAGAAACAATAAAGAATATTAAAAGTTCTTGTTCCATGATTTATTGAAACCACCGGTCGTGTATTGCGATTTCGGACTTATTAGCACTCATCAGCACACCATACGCAAATAAATCATCGACCAAATGGTTATTATTATTTGTTTTCGGGGTTTCTGGCCGTTGTCTTTAGAATTGTTTCCCGACGTTTCGGCTCTACAGCTGAAGGCAACTAAGTTCGAGAAGATCAACGTGCAACCATTGAAAATGTCCAAAAATCCACAGTTGTAGATGAAGCGTCGGGAAACAATTTCCAAATATAACGGCCAAAAAAACCCGAAAACAAATAATAATAGTACTGAGGATGCCAGGCGTGTAAGTCTACGTTTATTTACAAATCAAAGTTGTTCTGTGATCCCGTAGACACTTAGCATTGGATACTACCTATTACTTAATATTCTGCGAGAGTTCCATGATATTTAAGTTTTCTAAATTCAACAATTCATCATATAGACTGTAAATAACTAAATAATTTAAATAAAAACTGACGTCAATACTATGCTTATATGCACAAACTTAAAGTAATATGTAATAATTCAAATAGGATCACATTTGAGATGTAGCCTGATGAAGCAACATTGACCTTTTACTGAAGCTTTTTTAGCATAAATTTGAAATTTCTATAACATTCATTCGTTCTCTAATACATTAATTCACAATTACAATTTAATTTTCAAACTAGTAGGTAGTAATTTTTAAAAATTACCTTTTCGAAAATGTACTATATTGAATTGCATGCTCATTTCAAAGAGGTTGTTGACAGGCGTCATATGGATTTCAGTCAGGTATGAAACATTTTTGCATGCGTAAGTAAAAAAAAACAAGGAAATTACAAGATGATGACCACCTAAAGATAATAGGTTCATAAGTATAAATATACACAAGAGATGCAGAAATTGGTGTTGCATTATAATGTGTTTAAAACTCCGTGGGTATTCAAATTGAAATTCAATACGTGAGTGAAAACGTAAACAGAATATAAATTCGGGTCAAATCATTTTTAATTAAAAAAATTGCAGCACGTACTTATTTTTCAATATGATAGATCATTGTACATACATATTGATATGGAGACGCTTTTATGGCATCTCTGCCATTTATTTTTTTATGAGCTCAGAGTAGGTTCCTACCTATTTGTATAATTAGTCATTCGATGCAAATTTAACTGTAATGAAATTCCTTTTGGTGTTGTCAGGGACAAGATATTTGTAACTTTCCGCGATATTAGATGACACTGTTACACGTGACATTATTACTAACAAAAAAAATAGAACAAAACTAGAGCTGGTTACTTCATCGATATTGAATTCAAGACAAAACAAGTGTTAACCTATTTGTAACAGGCAGTCTTAAGAATTTTTTATTACAGTTGATAACAATTTCTTAATATTTGAATTTTAATCAAGGGCGAGTACAAATGGTATTTACAATCCAAGCTGACCAATAGCTAGGGTAATAAACCGCTGTATCTCAAAACGGCCGAATAACAACAAATTCAATGAATTCGATAAGAATCAAAGACAAAAGTACTTCAGTTTGATCTTCGTGATTTTAGCCTGCATATTTTTCAATTATATTCAAAGATTAGCAAGTTGAGCAAAGCGCTCACCAGAGGAAGTCCCATCCTTAAGTCCAAGGACTTCCAATTATCAATTATTTGCAAAATTATAGAAAAAATGTTATTAGCTTTAATTCTACGCCTTATTTAAACGGTATCTGTAAATTGTTTCTTATATCTTTTGTTTGGTTTCAGGAAGGGAGCACCTTTAGTCGTCATGTAGTCAAAGCAATCCGAAATTCCTCCAAAATCCAAAGTGACCATGTTTAGCAACGCGACGGTTTCATCGAAGGGTAGCTCCAGCAGGAGTGGAAACAGTTGTGGACGCAACTCGTCAATGCCTTCCCTCCGCATGCCAAATCCGTTCTTCCACAACAAAACATCTTTTAATCCGCTCTTCCGTTATTCGGACGCGTTTACCAGTTTCGACGCTTCCAACTTTAGTCTCGATGAAAACAAAAAGTACCGCGACAAGAACCATCCGATTTTACGTAAATATAACTCGCACGATTCGCAAGCGAACTTTATGGAAGTTCACCTTAATTCAAGCGGTAATACGCCGGATTCGACTAAGAGCCGGTCTATTTATAAACACACTCCGGAAATTAGTCCCGAATCGACCGAAGAACGGAATAAAAGACCGGAGTTGGACACGAGGGAATTTCTTGAAAAGTACTCGTTACCAAGGGTTGTTATGGTGGATGGTGGTGAACCATTGTTGCTTTATCGGTGTTTTGACAGTTTTACAAAAGTGCAGGCGAAAGGAGTGGTCGGGAAAAAGGGGAAAGAAAAAATCGACAGTCGTGTTCTGCATTTTCCAGAGGGTTACGCAGGTACGTATCAAAGCTCTCACTGCTTTTTAACTATTTTGTAGTTTATTTTTGCTACTACTACTGGTCATTTTATGGTACATTTTAAAAAACGTCTAAGATTTCTGTAGGTGGACAGCCAGCTTATTAAATTTTAAATTAGAGGAAGATAACATTATATTATTTGACTATGATACCAGAATATTTTCCTTTGTTAGTTTTAAAAAGTTAATTCATGATTCGAAAATATTGTTTTGCTTTTTGGCAATTAAATTTAATGTTTATAAATATGTACAGAATGGTGACCTGGAATCGTGAACAAAGATGTAATTAACTGTAATATGTTAAACTCTGAAGAAGCTCCACAATAGGTACCGAAACGTTAGCTATGAGTAAAAAGTGGTAATAGTAAGGACACCCTCATAGAAAATACCATTATCATCATAAGGTCGTCAGTCCTAAGACTGGTTGGACACGCACCTCCACTCTATCTTATCCTGAGCTAATCTTCGCATTTTCCTAAAACTACAACTACAATAGTAATCTAATCCAGGTCTACCTCTATTCCTCTTAATGCCTGTTTCTCCCCCTAATATGTCCCTGACTAGCCTGATATGCTTGAGAAGGTATCTTACCAACCTATCTCGCTTATTTCTTATTGACTTCCATAGAGTTCCCTATTCACCTATTCTTTCTAATATCTCTTCATTTCTAACTTTCTCTTTCCACGATATCCTCATCATTCACTTGTATTAATTGTCTGTTATAAATAAACCGATTGTAATTTCATGCCTTCTATATCAATTATCTAACCATTAAGAAGAAAAAATGGAAAAAAGTAAAACGCTACTACGCGAATTACCCAATTTTGCTTATTGTTTATGAAGAGATCCATTATGTGATGTACTACGAGTATCAGATTACTTGTCACAAAAACCAGTACGTACCCAAAAGCCTCATCTTCATCTTCGCATCACAAATTTTGCAACTTCTATATTCTGCAAAATTTAAATAACTCGTTGCGGTCATGAACTAATTGTTTATTACTTAAATGAGAAAGCGACCTTGGTCAAGTTTATTCATACATGCGTAAATATTATTTAGCATGTTGTGTTAAGAAAAAAACCAAATATGGTACCGCTACGTTCCGTTGAAGTTTTTTAAAGCTCAAATGAAGGAATATGTGTGCAAGTTGTCTATGTACATAGCGTAATATAATGGAAAAACAGTATTTTCTCGAACGGTGTACCAATGCGAATTTCCGGACATTTTATTTAGTTTCTTGCCTCATATAGCTTATTTACAAGCATCTTTTTGCGTTATGTAAATTTTCTTGCTAATTGTGAGAATATATCCTAAGCAGTCCTTTTTATTATGCAATGGACAATGTAAAGAGAAGGTATGTGTGAAGTAGCAATTGTTTTCTTCGAAATATGCCTCTTATTATCGTACTATAGATACGTGTGTGCGTATGTATGTATGTGTACCAGTACCCATAGTAAATTATGTCTACCCTTAATTGCTATCACAATTTTATTTTTGAAATGTATGTTGGGAACTGTTCTCTCATATTTATACATATTTCAAAAGAAATGCCCATTACGTGGTTTTTTATATTCAAGTTTTACTGTTTTTCTTCACCTTAAGAAATATTTTATGATAAACATTCTAAGTTATTGGTCAACTTCCTCATCACAGGTTCTGCTAAATTTCTGCTCAAACCAAAGTAGTTGAGCACAAACTTTATAACGAAATTATATCAAAGAAGTGCCAGTATGTTGTCATCCACAGAGATTTATTGCTACCTGCAGCAATTCGTAATGTTTGATAAAGTCCTTACGAAGGATATCTATCTCTTTGCCAAACTAAATCAACGGGCTATCACTCAGAAATACTCATTGCATAGAAATTTCAATTTTATAAATGGATATCTCCTTGATAGAGACATTAAAAAACATAGATGACCAAAATTAATAGCTGTAGCTATAGATAGCGAAATAAAATATTTATGTTAATTGTTATTATTCTCATTTAGATCCACTTCTATATTAGTAATCAAATGTATATTATTAGGTAACGTTTTATTGTATCCTACAAACAATTCTAAACAGAATTTTTCTGTATTGAAGCATACAAGATTATATTATTGTTTAGGTGTTTAATTTTTGTATCGAATTTGAATCGCCTTGCATATTCTCAATTAAATTCGTCGGTGGTATGTAGCCATATGAAAGTTCTTGAGAAATACCAACTTGAAGTAGAAAATATACATTATACAAGATAAGCATCAGCTAATCCTCTTTTGAACATTTATTAATCGCCTTTATCAAACTGGTACTGTGTTTTAAACCTTCAAGCTTTCGATTTATGTAATGCACGTCGGCTCGTTGCTTACACATACAGGGTATTTAATCCACCCCCATATCTTTGAATGCAGCTGAGTACCTAGACCTCCATGGACGAAGGATGAAAATATATCATACCATATAGTTTCAGGAAAAATCTGACATTCTCTAACTCAATTAACACCTTTACCGACTCTCTATATGGGGTGTGTTCCGAAATATAACCCAACATAGTGGCCAGTGCTGATGACGTCATAAATCGACGCCATATTGTACCGGTGTGCCACCATATTGTACTGGTGAGACAAGTGTGATGTAGTAGTATATCAAACGGATGTGTGTGTATCTGACTTTAAGGAATTTTTTGTTGTAAGAAACTTTAATAACTTTTGGAGCAAAAGTGTTGTAAATGAGCACAAGCTCTATTCTCAATATGGCGTCAGTTTGACGCAAAGCACTGGCCAGTATATTTCGGAACGAATCAACAGTATGGCGTCGATTCATGACGTCATCAGCACTGGCCACTATGCTGGGTTATATTTCGGAACACAACCATGAAATCCTTTGGGGCGATCGTCTTTTAACTTCTATATCTTTCAAATCAACCCGCGTAGCTGAAAACCAAAACCCTTTTCATAAACGGGGTATGATTCAGTTGAGGAGCTTTAGCGGCACGTAATATTAACAAACTGTAGTTACTTTTCTTATATACAAGCCCGATTACCCTCGCGAAGCTCAGGAAAAATTAGTTATCATTCGGGAACGTTCTTGAACCTTCTAGATAACTGTAAAACATTTTCGAATTCTGTAGATGTGGGGTATTCAGGAAAAATCTGTGACATTCTATGACATTCTGAGCAGACGTCGGAACTCAATTAACACCTTTGCTGGCTCTCTATATTGAGTCTTTTGGGCGCTAGTCTTTTAGCTTCCATATCTTTCAAATCAACCACTGCAACTCGAAACCGAATCCCTAATCATGAACGGGGAATGAAAAGCTATATGATAGCATATAACTCACGTGAGACTGCAGGATTTGGTTGAGGAGCTTTAGAGTCACGTGCGAATAGATTTGACTTTAAGAAAGACCACAACTTACTTACTAATCGTATGTTACACTCTGTATATTATGTAAGTTACATATTCTGACAGCTAAATAAAACTGGCGGAAAGATTGCTGCTGTTTTTAATATATGCATACGTTCAAATACATGGGCACATTTAAAATTCAAATCCATTTGTCGCAGAACTTGCATACGTCTGTAGACGCAGACTGATCATGTAAATAAACTGATTAAGCGAGTATTTCACTTCTTGGGCCGCATGCCTTTCTTCACCAGACGTTGTTAAACCTCTTCGATTGAGTCATACTGAGCGAACGAACTTACGGACAACATTCTACATAAGTTTCTACGAATCGACCTTCTATCTACACAAAATGAGAGTTTAGAAATCAATTTAAGTCACAAAGCTGAACTAAACCACTACATAAAACACTATTCGTACAGATAACATCTATTCAACTTTACTCCAGAACGTCATTCTGCCTTTTTAACCATATGCGTAGCAGTGTCAGCTTACTAACAAGAAGAAGAGAAAGGTAGGTACCTTTTTCTTTTCTGGTAATTTCAGAGCAAAACAATATAAAAGTATAAACCACACCATCTAAATCTAAATAGTACACCTTAAACTTTTCAATTTATTCGGTAGTTCCTAAGAATTAGTTGCACTAAGATTATCTACATTCTACAATAGAATATAAGGCCGGACCTGAACTGTAGCACCACTGTTGTTGTTTTATAGACAATTTTAGGTAATCGTACTTTGTTCTTTGATAATGCAAGGTGCTCATTCATCTTGCTGTCATTAGCATCATGTTAAGAACTCATAAAATACTAGAATTCGGTTAATTCATGCTCTTTTCTGCAACACACCCACCAGCTGTTACTGATGAAAACCGGAAACACAGAAAATGCAACTCATAACGACATGATGTAACACAACCGAATACATACATCATTGTTTGCAAGTTAACACAATGCGGTGTTTTACATGAGAATCCAGAGATTAATATTTTGCCGATCTTAGTTTGAATTCAATGTTTATCTACTCAAAACGACTATCCCTAAAATGGTATGTGTTGGTACTCATATATTTGAGTACTTACTTCCGCAAGGCGTAAAGATAAAATCGTAGCCATCTCTTAAAACGAACACCTGGCATATAAAACTGGTCACGATTTTTTCTCTTGTGTCATCGTCGAGTATAGTATGTAAAAGAAATGCATTAAAAGAAACAAACGTTTTGCACATTCGCAAATTATGAATAATGCATAAGAGAAGTACTGAAGTTGCAAAGAGAGCAAGATCTTTGCCGTTTCAATTTTCGCCTTCAGCCTGTTTTAAATTTTTGAGTGTCTGAATATGATTATACCAAAAAAAACAAGGTGGTAATTTATTAAACAATAATTGATTTACAATCGGATCGATTTGCTTTACCCATACGCTATCAGTGTATTCACTGCATATATATCTGTTGTTTATAATCACTATATACTTTATTACAATATTCTATCAAATTTCTATATTATTGAATTTCTTAACTATCGACGAGCACATAATATAAAAGTTATTATAGTAGATACATAATTAATGCAGCTGATAGTAATTCTATCGATCT